TTTACCACTCATAGCGGACTTATTGGATAAGCTAGCGGGCAAAAAGTACTACTCGACTCTTGATTTGGCGCAGGGTTATCACCAGGTACCCTTGCATCCCGACTCAGTAGATAAAACGGCGTTTATCACACCAGATGGGCAATATGAGTATTTACGGGTACCATTTGGCTTGGCGAACGCCCCGGCAGTATTTCAGCGGATTATGAACAACATGTTAGGCGAACTACGACATAGTGAAGTGCTGGTGTACATGGATGATCTACTAGTACCCTCAACTACCATCGAGGAGGGATTGAATCTCCTTGATCAGGTGTTGAGTTTGGTGGCGAAGGCGGGCGTAAAGTTGAGATTAGATAAGTGCTCTTTTCTAATGGAGAGAATCGAGTACTTGGGGTATGAGATCAGCGCTGAGGGCGTTCAGCCTGGGCGACGTAAGGTGGATGCGGTGAAGTCATTTCCAGTACCAACGGACGTACACGGCGTTAGGCAGTTTGTTGGTTTGGCGTCATATTTCAGGCGGTTCATAAAAGACTTCTCCGGCGTAGCGAAGCCCTTGACGAATCTTACTAAGAAAAATGTGGCGTGGATGTGGGGCGACCAACAAGTTGAGGCGTTCAATAGGCTTAAGGAAGCGTTGGCGTCTAGACCGGTTCTGGCGTTGTATGACAGTAAGAAGGATACGGAAGTACACACAGATGCCAGTAAGTGGGGGGTTGGTGCGATACTCCTACAGAGAGCGAATGGCGACGGGGCGTGGCGACCAGTGGAGTATTTTAGCAGAACCACTACACCCAGTGAACAGGCGTACCACAGCTATGAGTTGGAGACTTTAGCGGTGGTTGAGGGAATAAGGCGTTTCAGGGTATACCTGATTGGCGTGCGATTCAAGGTGGTAACCGATTGTGTAGCGGTAAGGGCGACTCTATTGAAAAGAGATCTGGTTCCTCGGATTGCTCGGTGGTGGCTAGCCATCCAGGAATATGATATGGAGGTGGAATATCGTCCTGGCGACAGGATGCAACATGCAGATGCATTGAGTAGGAACCCCATTGGCGAGATATCAGCGGTTGAAGCTGTAGGCGTTAATGTTGTGGCGTTGGCGGAGGCGGATTGGTTCCTTACTGTACAAATACAAGATCCCAAGGCGCAGGGGATCGTGGCGGCTCTGGAGTCTGGCGTGGCGGGGAAAGACGTGAAGGCGAACTATAAAATAAAGAACCACAGGCTTTACAGGATCACCCTGGCGGGGGATCGACTTTATGTGCCGGCGATGGCGAGGTTCCCGTTGGTTAGGCGACACCATGATGATATTGGCCACCCTGGCAGAGAGAGGTGCCTCAATCTTGTAAAGGAAACCTATTGGTTTCCGAGGATGACCAGATTCATCACGAAGTATGTAAAGGCGTGTTTGCAATGTGCGTTTGCAAAAGGGAACTATGGGCGAGGTGAAGGGCACTTACACCCTATTGAGCGACGGGCGGTACCTTTCGACACGCTGCACATTGATCACGTGGGTCCGTTTGTAAGGAGTGTTCGTGGGTACATGTACATATTGGTTGTGGTGGACGGGTTCACCAAGTATGTGCTGGCGAAACCCACGAAAACCTTGCGATCAACTGAGGCGATAACTAGATTGAGGGAGATTTTTGGCGATTTTGGGTACCCACGGCGAATTATAAGTGATCGAGGTCTGGCGTTCACGAGTAGGTTGTTCAGGGATTTCTTGGCGGAGAAAGGTATTAGGCATGTGCAAACGGCGATCGCGACTCCCAGGGCGAATGGCCAGGTGGAACGGCAAAACAGGACAATAGTCGAGGCGTTGACTGCAACTGTCCAGGCGGAAAATCGATGGGACGAGCATCTGCCTGAAATAGTATGGGGCATTAATAACACAATTTCTTCTTCATCTAGGTTCTCCCCAGCCGGGTTGATGTTCTTCCATCAGAATGGCGTGGTAACTGATTTGGCCAATTCAGGCGAAACACTAGCTAGTGGCGGCGATGGTGGCGGAAACCAGGGTGGCGGAGACCCCAACGAGGGTGGCGGAAACCCACTGAGCGAGGCGGGGCTCTCGGGCGAGCAAAGACCCTTTCCACATGGCCAGGAAGGAAAACACCAGGGTGACGACTTTGGTGTGATTACTTCCAAGATGAGTGATCAGTTACAGGCGAAGCGGCGGCGAACCTGAAACGAGCGGCGGCACAAATGAAGGCACATTACGATAAGCGGCGGAGGAAGGCGACTGCGTATAAAGTGGGCGACTTAGTTCTTTGGCGGGCCGCAGCTACTGACAGGGCGGATACCAAAGTGAGTCATAAATTGGCGAACAAATTCGATGGACCCTATCGGATTGCTAAGGTGATGCCCAATGACAGGTACCTGATAGAGGCGATAAAGGGCGTTAGGGGTTATAAGCGTTTTCAGGCGACTGTGGCGGTTGATTCTTTGAGGCGATATCCATGTATGGGTAGTGGTGAATACATGAGTGGCGAGAACGATAGTGTGAATGGCGACACTGACGCAGAGACCGATAGGCTAGACCTGTTGGATCTCCTAGAAAGTTAGGCGGTACGATTAATGAGGGCATTAATTATTTTCAGAATGGCCGAGTGTTACGGGAGAAACCGCAAGGCGGACGGTAGAGGGGCGACACCTCGACCAAAGACGAGGAAGGCGGCATTGGTGTTGAAGAGTTGGCGAGGAGTAGGTTTATTTTGAAGGCGTATATATTTGTACTACATTTTATTTGACGGCGAATAAAATATCTATTACTGTAACACTTATTATACGACATGCGGCCACTCAACCAATTTTATTTTATAATTCTGAAGGAGTACTTTGTATATATATCTACTTACAATGGGACAAATATGTAACAATTAGTTTTCTATACAAGGCAACCGCCCCAAAGAAAATCAGAATGGATTTAATGAGATAAAGCATTAATAATCATATAGAAAAACCGTGCAAACTCAAAACGTTACTCTATACGTGACGTCATGCGCGAACTCGGACGAATTCAATGCGGCTACGTATCATATCTTCTTTTATTGTATCATGGTTGTGTACCGTGTTGTGAGCGGATACTGTTGTTTACACGTGTACGTTGTGGATCATGTATGTATGTAGTATCTTGTGTTATGTTTAGAAATTTACGAACAATATGGCATGTGTTGATAATGACTGCTTTTTGTAAATGTTTGTATGTGTTTTTATCTAAACCTAATAGTTGTAAATTCTCCATTGCGTCTTAAGCTCGATAGCTATGTCGGTGTATTTGCGGTGTTTTTCTGCATGTGTTCTGGTTAAGTTGTTAGTGTTGGGAATGGCAATGTCTATAATACAAATGCATTTTTGTGTTTTACCTATAAGTGTAATGTCTGGTCTATTATTGGGGGTAGTTTTGTCTGTGAGTAGTGTCCTATCCCAATATAATTTATGTGTGTTGTTTTCAAGTATTATCTGTGGCGTGTATTTGTAGTATGGTGTCTTATCTGTTATAAGATTATGTTTAAGAGCTAATTTTTGATGTATGATTCCTGATACCTGATCGTGTCGATGTTTGTATTCTGTTTGTGCAAGTCGTGTGCATGCCGATATTATATGTTAGATTGTTTCTGATGTTTGTGAACATCATAGTCGACAAGAATCATTTGTCACTGTTTTGTCTTTATGTATGTGTTTTTTTATAGTTGTGTGTATTAATCACCTGGTCTTGTATTGCTAACATGAAACCCTCAGTCTCCGGGAAGATATCACATTCAGACAACCAAGTGTGCTTTGCTATAGAATCAACAGTCAACACAATCCTGGTTAACCTCTTGTGGAAATCGTCTATGTAAAGGCTTTTGGTTCCATGTCTGTATGTTATTTGTGATGTATGTAAGTTTGGATGTCGGTGGGAGTATATTTGTTTCGTGTAAGTTAAGTGGCGTGTAAGATTTGTCTGCATATGTTACTGTTTTGTGTAGGATTGAAGTATCTGATTTGTTATAAAAGTATTGTCGTAAATTGTGTATTTGTGTTTGGTGTAATAGTTTTATATCTGTAAGTCCTCTACCTCCTTCCGAACGAGGAAGGTAAAGTCGTATAGTAGAGGAGTGAGGGTGATGTATATGGTGTTTCGTTAATAGTGTACGTGTGTTTCTCTGTATTTGTTCTAAATCTGTATTTGTCCAACGTATAATCCCAAAAGAGTATGTAAGTACTGGTGTGGCATACATGTTAATAGCTTTGATTGTATTTCTGCCGTGTAATTTTGTTTTATTTATTATTATTCTTATTATTATTATTATATGTGTATCGTCCAAACATTCCACGTGCCTTTTACAAGTGCCCTCTTTCGACACTTCACCAATAGCAGCTGCTGTCTTATTCAGACGATTCATTTTGCGTTTGAGTAATAATAATAATAATAGTTTATTGCCATGATAAAATTTAAAATATAATAAAATCATTTACATTGGCATTGTCATGAATGTAGCATATTAGAAAAAAAGACAAACTAAAAACATAAAAAGGACAAACGTTATACATTGAGGAAAATAAGTTGTTAGTGTGTCCGGTTTAATTCGCATCAAGCTCGCCAACGGAGTAGTAATTTTTTTCAAGTAGATATAATTTTAAGTTTTTTTTAAACAATTGAAGATTCCTTGATTGTTTTATTGCCTTTGGTATAGCATTAAATACTTTGATGCAATTATAATAATAACCTCTATAACGAGTTGTTCGGTGAATGGGTATGCTCAAATTGTCACTATTCCATGTACTCATTGCGCTGTAAATATGGCTATTTTTATTGAAATCATTTATGTTTCGCCACGTATGTATTGAGGCGCAGTATGTAAAAATACTGGGTAGAGTTAAAATGTTCAATTGTTTAAATGAAGTTCGGCAAGAAGCTGCACTTGGAAGACCAACCATAGCCCTAATAATGCGTGTTTGTGCTATAAATACGCGACGTGTATCAGAAGCATTGAACCAAGGCAGTATGCTATAGGCTAGTACACCATGTACAGCTGCGAAGTAATACGCTCGAATTGAGTTAAGGCTTAGGCGCTCTTGGAGATATCTGATAGCATAGCATGCACTATTCAGTCTGCCCACAACATAGTCAACCTGCTTGCACCACTTCAAGTTTTGGTCAATATGGACCCCTAAGAATTTAGTCACTTCAGTTTGTTGAATGGACTTGCCAGACATTTTTACAAGTAAGTATTGGTCATTGAAGTATGTGAAAGCTACAAGAGCAGTTTTTTGTGTGTTAAGGATTAAATTGTTATTATTACACCATTCTACCATGTTTTTTGATATTAATGTTAGACTACGGACAATTCCTGAGCAGTTTCACTAGCAAACAAACATAACGTGTCATCGGCATACTCAATAAGTGTTGAATTTTGTAGTGATGGTTTTAGATCATTGACGAAGACTAAAAAGAGCAATGGGACAAGGATGGACCCTTGTGACACCCCTTGTCTCTGACAGTGTTCCAGAACCATTGCTGTTTTCAATATAGACCTGCTGAGATCTACTACTCAAGTACGACTTCATCAACTTCAAAGCAGTACCTCGAACTCCGTAGGCCTCTAATTCACTAATTAAGATCCGATAATTTCAAATGCTTTGGATAGGTCTTTGGATAGTACTTACTTTCCTCCGACAAAATGCTTTCAAGATATTATGTTTTAAAGTTTTCACATGACCAATGAATATATTTTTTCCAGGCGTCCCAATCGCCCATTCCGAGTACCCTTCTCCGACAATCCGTTCTTGAGGTATAAGGAATTATGACCGATCTCGATAAAGGGTCGAGGAGGAGGACTATGCTTGATAAAAATTAATTCCTTTCATTGAGACCTTTAGAATACGATGAAGGGTAAAATCTGTTCCCCCCAACCTCCTATTTTGATAAGGGGTAAGAAAGAAGGGCGGTATGTGGTAGAGAACATGTCCTAAGTTCGATAATTAGAGTACCCAATAACTAAACTACTTACTTACGAATGACAATCATTAAAAGTCACGCGGTGCCGCATCTTTAAATCTCAGCAAAGAGTCTGATATTATACTCTTTGATCTCAGGTAAATGAGTAGGAGTGAACATTAGAATCATGATGATCTAAATTCTAAAATTCATATAAAGATTTTTGAAGTTAGGCAATCATTCCAAAATTAAATTTCCAGATAAATGGTAGGCACTAAAGAAATTTTCATGAAGTAGGTAGGTAGGTACTTACCGTAACTGTGAAATGTATCATATAGCTACTTATTTTTTCAAAATCTAAATCTTTTTTTACGTATAGCTCTGTTTGCCATTCTTTCAATCCCTCCTTCAGCTCTTTAGTGTTTTGCATTTCAAAGTAGCTATTTATATCAGGCTGCATATGTAACACATGTTAGTTAGATAGACGCGGTTCGGTTTATAATACTTACCGTTACATTGTTCACCAAGGTGTAGCTCATATCCTTGACAATACCGTCTTTGTCAGTAATGTTAAAAGTACAACCCGTCTTTCCTGTAACGTTTTCCTGAAAATAATACACTATCTATATCAAGTACTTAGTTCAAAATTTACGGGAAAACGGGAATTTTAAAAAAGTTATAGAAAATTTTAACTGATATGTAAACTATTAGAGAGAGCAAGATCCCAATGCCCCCAGACCTTATCATTATTATTATTATTATTATGGTCGGTGTTTCTTGTCAGAACTCAGGTCTAGCCTGGTTCACTAATCGCACGGATTAAAATCGAGTAACGATTAGTGTTTGTCTGTACGTCGTTCGTATATATAATAATAATAATAAAACACATTAAGGCAATATAGGAATAGTAATGTGTTCAAACTTAAGCTTTTTTAAGTTTGTTAAAACCAAACTGATGAAATGGTTAACCTTTATTGAAGTAACTTACATTAGAGTTGAAACACGACTGCCTGTTAATGTGGCAAAACTTGCTTTAAAAGACTCTGTTAACAATTGAAGTGACTGATATGCACCTAAATAAATAATACTACGAACTGTGCTACAAAGAAAATGACTTAAAGTTAATGGGTTCTTATTGAATAAGTCCATCAGGATTACTGAATTCTGAAGAACTGAGTAAACTGCAATCCCTACTGAGAACCTTCTCAGAAGGGCCTTTGCTGAAACTATTGAGATTGTCTGACAGAATTCGCGGAAGGTGCTAAGATAACATGACGTTTCATCTACTCCTTACGTGACTAACAAAGTGATTTATCCCTAAATACTTAATACCTAGTTACAAAATATGCATATAAAATTACAACTTAACAGTATGTAATTCATACTTACCAAAATTGATGACCACAACCGCCAACGCTAACAAAAAAAAATCCTGCAAATGTAGCAATTTAAGTATTGGCGTTGTTTATTGTGTAAGAGTTTGTTTGGCTTTGCGTTTGGGTTGACTACGAGCACCGTAAACTAACTACGAGTAGGTTGTGATAACGTGGTGTGTTTCTGCGAAGAAAGAGTTTTTTTCTATTTCGGTGTTACAATGAGAATTTTGTGCAACTGTTTTCGGCAAAAACAGTGTTTCAATGAGTTCCATTGTAACATTGTTTTTGGTAACTTTTCATCTCTAAGTTGGCAGTTCGCCAAGACGTCAACGTCAAATCATCAGATGCATGTGAAATCAAATTACGTAAAATGTATGTGTTTTCCTTGATTTTTGGTACACGAAGAACTTAATACATTCCAAATCAGCAGTTTACACATCCACCATAAATAAATTTATCTACGAGTAAAAAATTACACATTCACGGAATTTCAAGTTTCCAAATGTCAGTGTTGTGTTTATCTACGCTGCCAACTTAAAATTTGTCAACGTAAATGGTGTTGCCAACTTAAGACATATTAATTCTAAAGTTTCCTGTAGTTTTTCATAATTACTTTTTAATTAAATTAAAGCCCCGAAATAGAAAAAAATAGTATGAAAAACACGTGTTACAATGCTTTATTGTAATACTCCTATCTTGTGGACACTCGTGGCTCCGCTTCGCTACGCCACTCGTGCCACAAAATAGTCGTATTACAATAGGTCGCATTGTAACACTTGTCTTTCAATATACTATTTCTATTTCGGTGTCACAATGATGATTTTGTACAACTGTTCCGAAAACAGTTGTACAAAGACAGTGATTATAGTCGGTTTTTTTTGGTCTTATAGTCGTTTTTTTTTTGGTAACTCATCTCTTAAGTTGGCAGTTACTAGTTAGTACAAGTAGGTACTTTGTTGGGTACTTCCATGTTTGAACTTCAAAATGTCAGTCTTACTACGCTGCCAACCTAAAACTTAACGGCATAAAAAGTGTTCCCAACATAAAACATGTTAGTTCTAATGTTCCCTATAGTTTCTGATAATGATTTTTTTAATTAAATTAAAGCACCGAAATAGAAAAAATAGTATGAAAAACGCGTGTTACAATGCCTTATTGTTCGCGGAGCCACGAGTGTCCGCAAGATAGGAGTATTACAATAGGCCGCATTGTAACACTTGTCTTTCAATACACCCTATTGTGTTTTTTAGCATTGCTAGGACGTGTAACTTTATTAGGTGGACCTGTCATTGTAGTTGCGTTACTTGTATTTATTGCGTTTGTTTGTTCAGGAAGTTGTGTTTGTGTGGTTGGTTGAGTTAAGGGTGGAGAGATTACAGTATGTTGTGTGTCATGTTGTGAGTCTAAAGTGCTGTTTAGGTTTTTGCATTTGGGTTGAATACTAATAGGTCGTGATAATGTGGTTTGCTTCAGAGGTGAATCTCTGATTGTAGTATATGTTGTATCATTTGTTGTACTTGTTTGTTCGGTAAGTTGTATTGTATTATTACCTATTATTATGGTCGGTGTCTCTTGTGAGAACTCAGGTCTAGCCTGGTTAACTACTCGCACGGATTAAAATCAAGTAACGATTAGTGTTTGTGTATGTACGTCGCTCGTCTGCTGAAGTTATGTCGGGTCCATAAAAAAAATGAAATTAAAAAGTTCCCACACGCACATTAAGGAAATCTAGGGATAGTAATTCATACTTACCAGCATAGCTATTGATGGGCACAATAGCCAACGCTATCAGGAAAGAGGAAAACAAAACAAAACAAAAAAAATCATTATAGGTAATAATTCCTGTAATTTTATTAACTAGAGTTTATTGTGTAAGTGTTTCTTTGGCTTTGCGTTTGGGTTGAATACGAGGGGGTTGTGATAACGTGCTGTGTTTCTGAGAAGAAAGAGTATTGTGCCGTCGGCCCAAGCTAGGGGGGGTATGTGTACGTTCAAAGTACATACTAATACTAATAATAATAATAATAATAATAATGTTTATTGTGAAAAACACAAATGGTAGGAGTTCATCCAAAGCTGTTCTTCCACTCCACAAGTAAGTACAGATAAAAATCGTTGAGTCAAAATTATTCAATGGTCTACATATTTTGTCTATCATAAAATAAGTAAGGTCTGGGGGCCTTGTGATCTTGAACTAATATACATAAAACGTAATATAAAACAAATATGTTTCGCCAACGTAGAATTTTTTTGGGATTGGTCTTATGTTGGCTTCTACGCCAAGATGGTGTACGCAATTTCGGTATGCAGTTGGCAGTTACCATAGTAATGAAAATATTGTATGCTTACCTTTATTTTACAAGGGTTGCTTGAAGGATTCACCTGAATGTATGGAGGCTGATCATCAACATTATTTAATTTTATATATACAGATCGATATTCTGAATTGATATCTATTTGAAACTTGTAACGGAAGCCATCGTATTTGTCGTCATAATCTTGTTTTTTTGTTATTACAAGGGCCCATGGTGAAACTGGATTATCTCCGGTACTGCGTTCGATTATTGCTCCAAGCTCGTCACCGTTACTTGATGGGGGCTCCTCGAATATTCCAACAGTCGGAACTGATTCACCTAAAATTGAATAGGAATAAGTCATAGTATAGCTGAAAAATGATATTAGCCAGATATGAGTTGCCATATCTCTACCACTTTCATGGAATTGCACCTATTTTGCACTACCATACGCCACTATTTTTTACTTTGGGCTTGCTCTTGTAATGCAGAGTCGCATCCCTACCTCTTTCTGATTTCCATATATTTTTGCATTCACCGAAAATCCATTCCCATATTACTTACACCAACCCTCTCCCTATTGTCACTAAAATTATACGCCATCTCTTTAGTTATACTAGATTTACTTTCCCACTGTTTGGCCTAAAATTGACACTTTTACTTCCAAGACGGCGACTGTGCGCCATTTTGAATTTTCGAAGAATGTGATACCGAAATCTTTTTTCTAATTACAATTTCTCTAAGTCATTTCATCGATCGAAACAAAAGTTCGCCAAACTTCAATTGATCAAAGAGTACCTAAATTCGTAGGGTAGATGTGGTACCTAATACAATTTAAAGAGAAAATGTATAGTGTGTAATTATTAACGAGCGATAAAAAGCGAGTTTATGATTTTGAACTTTCCGTCCGTCCAACCGTCCGTTGGTCTGTGTACATGATAACTCACGAACGGTTTCGAATTGTTCAATTCTGATTTCAGTAATACCACATCAGACAACCGTGGTAATATTTAGTAGGTAGGTACTCTATGGGAATAGGTAGACAATGGTCAAGGGAGTAATTGATTAAGATTGTGGTCATTTGGACTTTCTGTCCATCCGTCTGTTTGTCTCTCGTTGTCTATATTGGTTTGAAACAGTATATTTATCTTATGTTATGACAACTAACAAATTGATAGTTACGAATCAAAGCGTGTTATGTATTAATCTTTGATCAGTACCGAATAAGGATAAAACTCAGATATGGATTTTCAGTTTATTATCGTGATGCTTGTGATACAAGATGCTGTATAAGAATGTTGAATTTTCTAAGGACCCTTCGGTAACTAACAGAAGGTTTACCGCCCCTACGTAACTTGATACATTCTATGTAAAACATATATAGTTTGCCGCCTCGTAACTCGATAGATACATTGCGAGGAACGGTCAGAAACCCCGGTCAGAAACCCATACTTCACAATAAGGTCTTCAAGGAGTTGTCAAGTAGTTTTGTAATTGTATAATTTTCTGCTGTGCCCTGTGCACATTGTATTTTTAAGACAAAATGCAATTTACACATTTAAAAACATCGTGTTACTCTAGAAAAAGTGCATTTTTGTCGATGTTTTGAGACTGCGACTGTCAATTGTTTTTGTTGTTGACACTAATTCTAACCAGCGTAAAAAAACGCACAAAATAAGCACATAGTTATTACTAGAACATACAAATTAGGGAATAATTGCAAAAACAAAGTTGGGCAATCTTCGGACCGTTAGTTCTTTTAATGAAGTTGTTACAATGTTGCTATTGCTAAGAAACTATCTGGGAAATCTTTATTTGAAATGTCGATTGTCTATGAATCCATCAATTGAAACTCGGTGAATTTTCCTTTCGACAAATTGGTATTTCGATAAAAGGAAGGACCGCACATCGAGAACATCAGTAAATACCGAAAACAAATAATAATAACCCTATTTAAAAATATATAATGTGATAGTGTGTCTGTAATATTATAGGTGCCAATGACCTTGATAGTCGAGGTACCTCCCAATAAATATTTAAAACCAGGTGTCAAATTCTTGACAGAATAGCTTCCTATCTGAAACCAAAAATTGCCAACATATGTACGCACTTACAGACGGGAAAAATTTATTCTTTAAAAGTTGCTTAAAATGGTCTAAAACGTCGACATTTGATGAAATTTTGAAATGTTCAAAAAACGGCTATCGCAATAGCTACCTAGCACATGCTAGGAAGCTAAAAATAAGAAAGGTGCATTTTTTACGCATGCATTTTGTTTGCTTTTATTAGAGGGACCTACCATCCAAATTTCGTTAAAATTGCTCCATAAATAAGAAAGTTGGATGTTGCACATGCGCAACACTATTTTTAGCTTCCTAGCATGTGCTAGGTAGCTATTGCGATAGCGGTTTTTTGAACATTTCAAAATTTCATCAAATGTCGACGTTTTAGACCATTTTAAGCAACTTTTAAAGAATAAAATTGTTTTCCGTCTGTATGTACGTACGTACGTACGTACGTTTGTTGGCAATTTTCTGAGAAAACGGCTCGACGGATTTTGTTGAAATGTTGTATATATGTTTTAGGCATACCGAACAGAAAAATAACGGGCCGGATTTTTGAAAAAAAATTTTGGAGCGCCGTAACGGCATCGAACTTTTTTTTTCAAATAGCAACCTAAAATTTTTATTCTATTATTTGGTAGACCTTATTTTGCTGTGTACAACCTACAAAAAATTGGGCCGGGTTATATTATCAAAAAACGGAGAAAAAAAATTGTCAAAGTCAAAAAATTGTGTTGCATATGTGCAAAACGCAACGATCTTGTTTCTGAAGCAATTTAAACGAAATTTCTACGTACGTACGTACATACAGACGGAAAAAAATTTTATTCTTTAAAAGTTGCTTAAAATGGTCTAAAACGTCGACATTTGATGAAATTTTGAAATGTTCAAAAAACGGCTATCGCAATAGCTACCTAGCACATGCTAGGAAGCTAAAAAACATCCCATACCTATAGCATCAATTAAATGTGCTCATGCCCGAACTGCGCAACGCCAACTTTTTTGTTTATGGAGATATTTCTTTGAAATCACAGCGCACATAGCTATGGCCTTTTGGGAAGTACTGATCATTCATGGAAAATTCGCTGAAGTTACTCGCTTTAGGGGAAAACCTTTTTACTTGTTTACTTTTATAGAAGTTCCTAGCATCAAAACTCAGCGAGTTGACGAAAATAATCATGGACCCTATTTCGGTGACAAAGAGATGTGAAAATCGCTCCTTGGTTTCCGTTTCCATTGAAAATAATTCTAGCCATTTTACCGTTCACCTTATTTATGTACTTTGTAATAAAGACGGTTGGTACTCTTTGCTTGTAATATTCTTAGAAGTGTAAGCGGTTTAAAATGCTTGGTCTTGAAAAGAATTGAGTTTGAAGTGAAAAGAGTAGGTATTTTTATTTTTGTAATAGTGCAAACAATTGCCTCGCTTATGCAACATATTGAACAAGATACCAATAATCGCATCCGATTTTCAGTAGGGGAATTTTTTGTCACACCGCTCGTATTCGGGAACTAGCCTTTTAATCCGGCTCATATTCAATAGCAATGTTCATATATAATACCATAAGTAGTCGAAGTATTGTCGAATATTTTTGAGGTGCTGTCACGAATGCTAGTTACGCTGATTAATACCACGAGCGCTTGCGCGAGTGGTATTAAAAAGCGTAACTAGCATGAGTGGAGCAGCAGCTCAAAAATAATCTACAAATACTTCGACTACGAATGGTATTCGGAGGACTATTCAATGAATCAAAAGAAAAATGAAGCATAATTACCCACGCGAATGTATTTCCATGACAACAATAAACGTCAAAATAAATTACGGAAGGAAGTTGCTTTTCATTTTGCTATTGATTCTATTCGAACTTTTGTGCTCCAAGCTAATTCGTTATGAGTGATTAAATTAAAAGATGTGGTGATAAGTCGGTTGTCGAAATTGATTAACAAGCTAAGAAGAATGTTCCGGTTAATACGACAAAATTTCGCGACATTTCAGTGGTGGAAGTTTGACAAATGTCATTGAATAATCGCATTGAATTGTCGCTGAAATACCACACGTGAAATTATCGCTGAAATACTACACGTGAAATTATCACTATAATTCGTTCCCATTGGCTCAACAATTTGAAATCTCGACATTTCACTGGTCGAAATGTGACAAATGTTAGATGAATTGAATAGTCATTGAAATTCGTAGCAATCGATTTGCGAAGGTTTGACATCGCTGTCTCTTTTCGAGGAACAGACGGACAAAACCATCACATAAGGAGAATTTTTTCTTTCCCCTAAAAACTTTTAAAAATACGCAAACTTTTGTGGAGCACAACATTGTAGGTTTCGCGTTTTCATAGTGTGGGATAAGTACCTACACATTGAGTAAGATGTGGCCCGGTGGCCGTATAATATCTCCGTAAACGGTAACTTGTTCGCATCCTTTCAGAAATACGTGTAGTTTATAGCTCTTGAAAAAACCTATAATGCGATTTTTCAAGGCTGATAGCCTTAAATCTAAGCGAATTACGGTAGCCTAATCAATGACCATTTACCCGTATAATTTTGTCACACAGCACCGATTATTATAAAATTTGTATATAATAGGTAGGTTCTAACCCAAGCAATCTTTATTCTGCATAGTTTGTTTTATGAAAGTTCATACTTTTGGACCTACATTTTTGCGACTCAAAGTGTCAACTAGTCAACCAAAAAAACTCACATTTTTGTACGGTTTTTCGCGATTAGCTCAAAAGGTAGGTATTTTATCGAAAAAATTATTTTTAGCAAAATTTTGCTTACAAAAAACAAGGAGGACGAGTTAATGGTTTTCTGAAGATACGAGTAGTATAACATTTGAACGACATCTCTTAAATCAATTTGTTCAGAAATCCGGACAGGCGGACGGACGGGCGAGAATATTACGATACTCAAGCGAAAGCTCTTAATGGATTCAGTTAGTGGAACTTAGCACCCTACTTTCATGGAGTGAAGATATTCTCTTTTTTCAATCACTTTTATGGCAAATCATCATATTACTCGTCTCGTCACTCGTCACACAATGAGATTCGCCATACCTACTACCTATACAACAAACTGAACCAATTTTGATAATGACTTTTTTATGCATGAGATCACCATGCATAAAACGAAACTTTGTTTGATAATTTCAAGAATCCTCGAATAGGTATGATAATGATTCATCACCTCCAATTGAAGCTGTTATCACTAAACACACTCTTTAGTAATATAGGTACCTAGTAATACTGATCCGTGAGTAATAGCTATAACAATAAATCCTACCTTTATAATTAATATAGGCGACTATTATGTGATCCTTGATATTTTCGTTCATGCGTATAATGGCTTTATCGTTTGCCTCCTCCATTTGAACTAAACCCTCTGCTGCCTTATTTGGTAAAAAAGCGGGGGATTCCCAACCTGTGTATTTGAAAATGTGTAAAGTTATGTGTTTTTACCTATTAGGTACTTGAAACTTACCCCGCCCATTATTTATGAGCATAAAAATCAAAATAAATGTTAGAAACATAACTAGAATGTATTATAGCACCTACGAATTGAATTTGGTGCTATTGTACAACTAAAACTATAGGTATTTCAGTATATCTACTTGATAGAGATATCTATTAGCGATATCTTATCATGGCGATTTCGAAGTGGTAGGTATGTGGACACATGCGGAAAATGATAGCCCGCTCACAAAATGATGTACTTACCCATTCAACCTTTCTACTTTTGAATATTGTATCTGGGGTTTCCTAAATTAACCCACGGATTGGAAACAATTGCCGCGGGGGCTTTTTACTGACTTTCTGCTATACTTTGTTAATTAATTATTTACTTTGTTTTGTCTAATTTACGGCACAATCCTTTGTGACGAAGAAAACTGGAAGGAAATAAGTAACCCAGCAATACGGCTCCAGCTGCTCTCGGTGGTAGGGGTGGTTCGACGATCCTGAAAGAAATAGCTATAAATGCTCCGAAAATTTAGGCGCCACTAATTTTTCGATAGTTCCACGCCGTACAGGAAAAAAATTAGAAACCTGCTCCTGTTGGTCTGGAAATGCAGGGGTAAAACTATAATAAAGAGAAATAGAGAAAGATAGCGGGAAAGAAAAGGTATTTATTCTTGCAGGAAATCAAGAATTTAACACAGATATTGTAGGGCGAATGATGATGATTGATAATGGCACGGGATGATAACAGGGAAATAACGGCAAAAAAAAGAAAACGGTACGAGATCTCGTCTCACAGTAAACAATAAAATTTGACTAAATTACTTATGATGTAGGGCGGCTGAATTAATGTGATGGTTTTTTTTTTTTAAATAAACTTAAGAGCATTTGTAACGTAAACTAAACAAATATAAAAATCGAGCTCTTGGGTATGGCTATAGCATGTGCAAAACCAAATTTTAAACCCGATGTCAGTTTTGCTTTTATTTAAAGTGTATTATGTGTTATGTATGTATGAAATTTCATTTAATTGCTTCCATAAATAAGAAAGTTAGCACTGCGCATGCGCAAACCGAAATTTTGAAACTGGCGGTAAATTTGGTTTTATTTCAAGTGCCTGCAATTCGGATTATAAATGGTCGAGATGCGAAAAAGGCACTGTGAATGTTGATCGGTTAGGCTCAATTTTTGGAATTGCGTTTTATATGGCTAAACCTATACGCATATTGAATTTCATGCAATTCGGTTCATCACTAACAGAGATGTCAAAAGGGTCTTCCTTATTTTTTGACCTATATTACCAATTCACGAACTCCGATCTACAAACTTGATAATGAATCCACCTACAAAATTTCATTGTAATCGGTCCATTCGTTATCAAGAAATCGTGGTAACGGACGGACAGACGGACAGGCACACCAAAATTATAAACTCGCTAGGAGGTCGTTCAGTGACTATGGCACCTACGGTGATCGGGGTTTGTCTTATTGTTTTGTCATCATAAGAACTGACCAAATACGGATTTTCAATTGATTGGATGAATTTTACTAGTAAAAACAGATTGTTAATTTTCGAGTATTCTTTTTTTATATTTTTCCGTAAACACAATGCGGGCGCTTTTGTTTAAATTCATAATTCCAGGATGGCATTACCGACTTTCTAAACGCGACGATTTTAAATTTTTAAATTTTTACTGTTTCTGAATTTATAAAATAGGAAACAATAGTATGTACGGATTCTTAATTTTTTTCTCTACAAAAAACCTAAATTATTATTATTTCTAAAGTAATTAGGGAAGCCAATTCGGAAATTAAAAAATTACTATTGAAATTCCTATGGTGCGTTCGTCAAGTCACAACCCCGTACGTACCTCGTAACGCAAAAATGTTATAATAATAATTAATAAGTAATAAGAAGAATAATAACTACAGTACAGTAGTACACTTCTAATTCTTCGTGATATTTCCTTCCTTTTTGAATTGTCAGTCGTTGTGTCGCTTTTAATATTATAAACGCCCATAATAACCGTACGATCGCGGGTATAACCGAATGATTACACACCAAACTGTTGCGAATGTAAGGTGGGAGAAACTCATTGAGTTAGAAAACTAATGGAGGGAATCAAATGCTTGGCCAGACGTAGACCACGGGAACCAAAAGTGGCCTCTAACTGTGATTAAAGTACCACACCACTTCCGTTATCATTAGCGTCTCACTTCAGTGGCGTAGAGATATCATTTTCTTTCCACTAATAGGACTAATAACAAAAAAAAAAACGTATAGAAGGAGTAAAATACATGCTCGTGGTAAAGTAAACAAAATAGACAAGGATGGGAAAGTATGCAGATTTAATATAATCATTGATTACAAATCTAAATATACATACATCGATGTGTTCCATTAGTATAATTAAGGCCAGTTTACTATAGCCACTACAACTTGACAACTCCCATTAAATCCACTGTGTTGATCATTTTGGAGTTCTTTTAAGAAGCGATAGTCAAGGAAAGTAGAAAACACTTTAATGAACACGAATGAGCAAAAATATGGAAAAATGTAATGACTAAAATGAAACATGATTCAATCAGCAATTTTGTGTTACTACAACTAACTATACATAGCAACTTAAAAACAACTCCCTGCTTTTTCATTACTACTAAATCAAGGTGTTAAGGAAAGCAGGCATTTTCAAATATCTCAACACTCCCACTAAAATCTGCCTTTCCTTATCAATATCAAAATCGCAATATTAAACTGAATAATAAAGTTTCCATAATTACATTACACACATCGACACATCACTAAACATTTTTAAATTTAACACCAAATTGTTCTCGTAACAATTCATGCCTCTTTTTGTTTAAAAGTTTAGTCATAATATCCGCTAACTGTTTAGCACTTTCCACATATTCAACACAAATTTTATACCCAGTACACTGTTCACGGATAAAATGGTATTTTGTGTCAATATGTTTGGTTCGTTTATGAAACTCTGGATTTTTAATTAAACGTATTGCACTTTGGTTGTCAACTAATAAAGGTGTTGCACTTGTTACATCTTCGCCAATCTCATTTAAAAAACTGCGTAACCATAACACGTCTTTTGTAGCATTAGCGGCTGCAACATACTCAGATTCTGTAGTAGAAAGCGACACTGTCGGTTGACGTTGGCTACTCCAGGTAATAGCACCGCTATTTAGAATGAAAATATATCCTGATGCAGTAGACCTCCTGGTATCGGGATCACCAGCAAAATCTGCATCCGAGTAACCGATTAATTTTGAATCGCCTCCTTTATACAGTATTCCATAATCTTGAGTACCTTTCAGATATCTAATTATTTGTTTTACTGCATTCCAGTGTGCTGTATCGTAGTTATTTAAATATCGACTCACCATACCCACTGAATACATTATATCAGGCCTACTGACGATAGCTGCAAACATTAGTGTTCCCACTGCTTCTCTATATGGGATTTTTCCATTTTGTTTACTTTCCGGTGTAACTGCCTTCAAAATATTATTAGAATTTGTAAAGTAGAACACTCACCGATTTTGCATCTTCCAAATTAAATCGTCTAATTATCTCCTTAATGTAATGCCTTTGATGAATAAAGAGAGATTTGTTCTTTCGATCACGTTCGATTTCTAAACCTACATAATAGTTTAAATCTCCAAGCACGATCTTGAATTCTTGTTTTAGTTTTTCTATAATCGAATTTAGAATTAATTTATCTTCACCGATTATTAGACCATCATCCACAAAAAGAATTAACAGTACTCTTTTACCATCTACTTGCCCTTTATATACACATTGATCAGCTGTGCATTGTTGAAAATTGAAGTTTTTAAGAGTGCTGTTAAATTTACGGTTCCAACATCTTGGGGATTGTTTCAGACCATACAGCGATTTCTTCAATTTACAGACTAAGTTTGGATTGATGTTTGCACCATTAGGTGGCGACATATAAATTTCTTCATCGAGTTCGCCATATAAGAATGCTGTCTTAACATCAAACTGAATGATTTCGTAATCGTACTTCGCTGCTAAAGAAAGTAAAATTCTAATTGACTCGTATCTTGTAGTTGGGGAAAAAGTTTCTTTAAAATCTCGATAACTGGTAGCATCGTCTTTGAATAACACGAAATAGTTCGCACCTCCTATGGACTGTTCTGACATTGGGCCGCACACGTCACTGTGAATCATTTCTCCGGGTTTAGTGATTCGTTGAACTTTTGAGAACTTTAATCTGTGCTGCTTGCCATATACACATGCTTCGCAAAAGATTTTCTCTGCAGCGTTCACATTTACACCACTTATCAAACCTTTTGATGCCATTTCTTTTACAGTATTGAAATTAATATGTCCTAGTCTTTTATGCCACAAAGCTAACATATTTGCATCTGTGGTCACATTAACTTCACTTTCATATCTGATCGTTTGAAATTGCAAATGATACAGAATATTTGCCATTCGGTATGCGCATGCCACTACCTTCTCATTGTGATACACCAATGCAAACTTATCTTCCTTAATAATTTTCATGCCTTTACTGGTAATGACACCTTCGGAAAAGAGATTTTTATGTAAATCTGGTACATACAACACATTTGTCAAAATAGCGTCATACCACTTATTGTGCATCAGCTTACGGATTTTGATTGTTCCTTTACCTGACACTTTGAGACTTTTATTGTCACCAAGTGTCACTGATTTTATGTCACTGTCTTCCAAGGATGAAAAATAATCTTTGTGGTATGTCATATGCGACGAGGCTCCGCTGTCCATTATCCAAACATCGTCCTTTGATATCGCTAATGCATCACTCGTTAATCCAAATGCTTTCTCCTCTGTTGTAAAAGCTGTTACATTTCCTTCCTGTCCCTTTTCTTTTTCTGCAGTGTTTGCCCGTTCTTGCTTCTTATTTCGACATTCTCTTGCATAATGGCCCCTCTTCTGGCAGTTGTAACACGTAACAGGAGGCCTCTTCTTCTTGTTCTGCATTGGTTTGGTAGCTCGCGTCGTAGCCAGCGCTTGTTCGTTTTCTAATTCCATCGTTGTGAGACTAGCCTCTTCATCCAATAATCTCATGGTAAGATTTTGTATATTTTGATTCTTCTCATCAACAGATAACCAGGCTTGCCGCACATTTCTGTATTTTAGAGGTAAGCTTCCCAAAATCTTTGTCATAATGGCTATATCACTGACGGTGTCTCCCGAGTTTCGAACTTGCTTAGCAAGATTTTCCACCTTGGCAATATGCAACGCAATTGAATCAGCTGGATCCATTTTGTACTGGTGAAACTTTTCCTGGTGCATCATCTTATTCGATTCCGTGTTTTGCTGGTAAATTGTGTCCATTTTGCTAATTACATCTTTAGCGCTTCCACAATTTTCGATTAATGTAATTTGCGAAAGTTCCATGGCAGACGTCAGGATATACATTGCAATGTCATCTTTCCTGTTCCATGCTTCAACTTCTTTCGCTGTTCCTTCACCTTCAGCACCACTTGGTTTTTCGCAATCGCCATTCGCTACCTCGAAAACTCCTCTTGCTCTTAGAGCACACTTTATTTGAAATTTCCACTGCTGGTAATTTCGTCCATTAAACTTATTAATGACGCCAATGTCTACTTTACTATCCATCATTTTTGACACAGGTATTCCAGGTACGTAAAACTGATTTACAAGTACTCTTACTTTCCTAACATGACTTCGCTGGGCCCATAACCTTTTGGAGTTCTTTTAAGAAGCGATAGTC